GCTCTGCTCTGCTCTGCTCTGCTCTGCTCTGCTCTGCACTGCTCTGCACTGCTCTGCTCTGCTCTGCTCTGCTCTGCACGGCCCAGGGATGACTCTAACAGTTCAATGTGGACTTGCCATGACATACTGTCCGCTTCTGTGCCTAGCCACTTCTGCTTATAGATGAGATGTGTCACTCCTTCCACACAGCGTGCTTGGGGCAGAAGTTCCTGGGTGCAGTGTCCTGGGAGATTTGTAGAGATGATTTGAAACTTTAGAGTGTGTTAGCATCGTGTGCACACAGTGAATCCCACTGTTGGGCCTGCCCCAGATTTCTTACATGAGGGTTAGGGTGACACAGTTTAGTCAGCTTGTTAACAAGCTCCCTGCTGTTGCCAGTACAGAGGGGGTGTAAAAGGACTGGCTCATTGGTCCTGGCTTTTATCTTGGGTCTGTAGTTGGGCCCGTAAGGCAGTATTAGGAAACTTTCCTGCATTGAGCACCAACCTGTCAGACCAGGCCAAGAGCCTGCAGGACATAGATGCCTCTTGTTTGGAGGCCTAAGACACCAAGTGCAGCACGCTCACCCACAGAGGCCCTCACAGCCCCTCAGAGAGCATCCTTAGCCCTTAAAACTGCTAAGATTTGAAAGTGCAGAAACACAAGTATGAAAACCTGACATGCGTGCAGAGGCCTCGCTGAATAATTGGAAGGGCATTCCGTGCTTGGACAGCACTGTGCTGCCAGTTCTCTTCCTCCGGTGTGGTGTGGCTTGTCCCTCAGGAGGGCTTGGGCAGAATATGGAATAGTCATCTGACTAGATAAATACATATAAGTACTAACAGTGAAGATTTTTAACTCCTAAAACATGTTAAGCCTGATGAAACTGGCAAATGCCCTTCTGGTTTATTGGATTAGCAATTAGGTAAAAACACTGAAGGAAGCCTTATTTATTTGGACAGATGTAGAGAGGTCAGAATTAATTTTTTTTTGCAAGCCTTTTAATTGAATTCCCTTTTAATTTTCACAGTGGTATCTAGTTAAATATTCATGTTGGTGCTGGTGGCTTTCTGAAGGACTAACTAGAACTGGATTCACAAAACCAACACAGCTTGTTTAACCCTTTTCATCTAGTGTGCCAGCAGGGACTTCCTGAGCGTAATCCCATAGTATTTGAATAATTACAAGGTAGTAATGAGGATTTAATTAGTCCTTGAGATAGGTTGGAACAGAACCCCTAAGAACTTTCCCTCCCAGACACGAATGGCAGGCAGAATTGATGGAGCCGCTGGCTGTGATGCGCTGGAAAATGTATTCTGTGGCTGGAGGCCGTCCTTTGACACCCGTGTGTGAGCATCAGATCAGCATGGGAGGCATCCTTGGTGACATCTTCCAGAATCCTTCAACAGCAGCCCCCACCTTCATTTTCTCTCCCTGCCAACCTACATAAAGATCTCGTTTTCTTCTCCATGTTCAGAAAGGGGTTGCAGTAGCAGCCTGAGGACCAACCGTCCCTAACTGAGGACCACTCCTGCTGTAACAGATACCTAGATCAACTGAGTTGGCCCAGGCCCACCAAGCGAAGAGCAATGACAGAGTGTCGCATTTTTATAAATTTCAAGTGTTTTGTATGGCCAAACATCGTAGGGTCTTTGGCCATTGTTTGTCAACAGAGTCACACAAAAAAGAAACTTGTCCCTGGATCTGATCTTCACAAGTGCTGTTTCTCAGTAGTGGCGTTTTATAAATAAACAGTCTGGTACCCAGGAAAGCATGTGACAGAATGGGTGTGGCATACACTGAGATGCTTTTGTGGACTTCTGCACAAAACCTCGGTGGTTGCAGTCAGCCCATTAGTGTTTAGGTGTGGGTTGTTGGGTTTTTGGGGCTTTCTCTTTTATTTATAGTTTATGTTTATTAGTACATAGGTTACATGTATATCTGTGCCACACTAACCCTGTCTGAGAAATTCTGTGTACACTGGTTCTGGGAGCCACTGAGATCTTCTTGTCTGGCTCTCTCACTAACATTTAGGTCCAGGTCACTGACCCATGTTTCGCTTCAGAGTCCGTGTTTGCCAGGTATGAGGTAAATGAAGAGGCCCATGCATGGTGGCTCCCCTTCCCCCATAGGCGAGGCCGGCAGCCTTTTGGGGCACCCACAGGTGGGTGACATTGGAGCAGTCAATAAGCTAGAGCTCCACTGCGGGGCAGAACTGTGGCCCTGTCCACCTCAGAGTGCAATGCCTTACATCCCGTGTGCAGGCTCTCCTCACCTGCAGAAGCCCAGAGAGCAGAAGATCTGGGTTTTATTACACTCAATGATCTTATGACCTTGGGCATTGGGTGAAATCTCTGCCTACCCATACATAAAATGAGGGTCAGAATCCTTTGGACACACTGCACATAGAGAAGACTGTGTCTCAAGCAGCAAGTGAAAGGCTTTGGTTCTTAGTAACAGGAACACCGTGCAGGCCGCTCAGATGAGATGCGGAAACCCACAGAGAGCATTGCCTGTGCCGTTGGGGTATGAATAGGAGCACTCAGGGTGCTGAGGCCCTGCACTTGTCTGCTTCTTCCAGCAATGCACTTACCCTCCTGACTCTCCACTCTGAAGACAACTTCCGCAGTATACACCCGCATAGAGAAAGGCTGGATGCCTTGTCCCCTGCCTACCGTCTGGGCAGTCAGTCAGCCCTCCCCTGGCGCTAACTTACCAAGTGATAGATGGTTTAAGTTTGGATGTAAGTCAGCAGCCTAGAGGGAATGGGGCGGCAGGGACGGCCTGGACGCTGCTGTGAGGCCTGTGTGTGGAACTCTGAAGTAGCAGGGGAACAGGAGAGAGCTGTTCTGTCAGTTAACCCAGTGGCACAGCTGGTGCAATGCGGGGAGCCCGGGTTAAAGCCTTGAACGGGTCATTAGTTTCAGTCTTCCTTGGAGCAGTTCATGTTGTGAAGAGAAGCAAGCAGATAAACACTGAAGATATTAAATTGTAACAAGAATGTTTCGTACAGTCTATTTCTCTCTCCAGATGGAAATGGGACACCTATTTGTGAAGAGAAATGGCCCTGTCTGCCTTTCTAGTTGAGACACTGCTGAGGTGGTTGGCACGTGACCACTGTGTCATGCATGTGGTGTGACATCTTCTATTGAACTGGCTCACAGAAACAAGGCAGCAATTCTGAGGTTTTTACCAGATGCCAGCATGAAAGTAGATCGTCCCTGTATAAAGGAAAAGCACCACGCTTTGGTGGCGGTGGCTTTGGAGCCTTGTGTGTTTTGCCCTGTCGCTCTCAGCAGCTGATGCCTCAGCTTTTGGTGAAACAATTGAATGACAGTGTGACGGGGCCCCAGCTCTGCTGTGTGAGCCTGATGCTCTCCTTGCTTTCACTTCCTATAGAATGAGCCATGGCTTGGGCTTAATGTTCATAGTTGACTCCTTTTCTCCAAAAAGCTTGGCACAATTTGTTGTCCCATAAAGAGGACAGTGATAGACAGCTGGAGGCCCAGACCCTGGTTTAAATTCCTGACAGTTTAAGTTTGGAAATTCCTTGCCTTCACCTTCACATTCTCTTGACTTTCAGTTTTCAAATGCTTCTAGCACTAGAGAGAGATTTCCAGTGGATGCTTCTCTTCCTCAGTTTAGCACTGGCGTGTGGAATTCAGTCAGCCTGATGCTGTGAGCACTCAGAGCGCTGCCTGTCTTTCCCATGCTCACCACCACCCCTCACAAATCTGCTCATCACCTCAGTGTACCCTTACACTCTACTTTTGACATTTTTGTGGACCTTTCTGAGGTCACATGTGTCCTGTCTGGGGAAAAGTCTTCCACGTTCCTACTGCACGTGGCTCAGCCTTGTGTGGTATTTGGGGAATTACTGTAATGGCTGCACAGCCCAGCGGCTTTAAACATGCTTTAATTCACCAAGGCTTGATCTTCTTTGAAGTTATTCTTTCACAAATTCAAGAATCCCGTTTATCCCGTTTGTCTTAAGCTGAGGGGGAAAATGTCCAGTAAACAAATAAGCTTACACTAAAGAAAACGCTGGGAAGTCCTTGGTCATTGCACCTACAGAAAACTGTAATGGATCGTTTATCTGTTATGTTAATGGTTATCAGGCCACTGGAGCTTGAGGTCCTGAGGTCAGCAGAATTGTGGTCTGTATTCTTTACCCACGCGTCTGTTCAGGCTCTTGACAGGAATTACTCATTCTAATTCTCCCCTTCCCCTATCTGCATGAGTCGTGGGCTGCCA